GAAAGTTTAAAAGACGTTTTCACAGATAGATCAAGATGCAGTGCGAAGCAGAAAGGAAAGGACTCAGGTTGTACTAATGACAAGCTAACCTAAGTGAGTGTATGTTTCTCTACAGGAATGAATAGAAGCTGCTTAAGAGAAAGTTAGAAGTTGCCTTCAGGTAGGCTGTTTGAGAGTGAGGAGCTACTCCTGTTCTCATGACTTCAGCTTCTGAAAATTAAGCTCACTGTCATCGTCATAGCTCTGCCCCTTCAACGTCAACAGCTCCTTCTGTTTATTGTCCTACCAAAGTGCCACAGAAGGCTGGGAGAATGGAATCCTATGAGGCATTATGAAACAGCAAACAGAGAGGGAGTGGGAGGTCGTGCATGCTGGCCTGACTCCTCCATTTCCAAACTCCTCTGCAGAGAAACTGCAGCCATAGGCAGCTGGTTGTGCAGGGTTGCCAACTGCATGGAGCACTGTACTGGCATTTAGCTGAACGGTGCAGTTGCCATTGCGACCTTCCTGTCAACATTTGACTTTATGTCTCTCCCTAGTTCCTATTTAATAATACCCATGCTGAGTAGGGCTTGGAATGGGATGTTGGAGGTGAACTTTTACTTCCTTACAGACAAATGATGAACTTCTTAAAGATACAATAGCAGTATGATCCAATTTCCATAAAAAAGTGCTGACCATCAGATTATAAACTACAATGATTTGTCCTTGAGGTCTCTCACTGCTATCTTGAGATCAATCTGCATATGAATTTGCAGCAGCCCTTTGAACTTTAGAGTTTGAAGATTGTAGTAGGTTTGCTTGGATTGGACACATTTGGAAAATTTACAAAATAACCCATATAGACATTTGTGTCAGCCACTTCTGGCATATATGATAATCTTTGCGGGGGGGGGGGATATCACTTCCAGTTAACGAACCCCCCTGAACTGGTGATTTTTACATACCACCGTATTTTCTTAGGTTATTTCACTGAAGTCCGACTTATCCACCATGATGGGATTCAATACAGTGTACATGAAGCTCCCCACAGTCTCCCACAGGGATGTGCAAGCATGGGAATTCTGTTCCCTTTAAGCCCAATGGACTTCTGAAGCATTTCCATTTGGTAACTTGTAGCAGACTGTAGTGGATTTTTTCCCAGATTCAAAAAAAAAAAAAAAAAAGTATTTTTTAAGGTTCCACGATTTGTGCCAATTCAATTTTCACAAACTAACCTGGGCAAAGGTTTAGGGGAATTTTGTAATTTACACAAATTATCATAATTTTGTGGTGTAGTGGTTAAGAGCATGGGACTGGGACTCAGACGACCTGGGTTCTAGTCCCCACTCGACCATGGAGCCAACTGGGTGACTTTGGGCCAGTCATAGACTCTCAGCCCAACCTAACTCACAGGATTGTTGTTTTGGGGATAAAATGGAGGAGGAGAATGATGTAAGCTGCCTTGAGCCCTTTGTAGGAAAAGGCAGGATATAAATAAAATAAATAAATAAAATAATTTTTTAAAAAATTAATTGGCCATCTTATACATGTGTACACAATCACAAGTCCATCTTTCCACTGTGTAGCACTTTGCTAAATATCCTTGTCAGTTTCAGCTCCTTTACATATTACTTCTGAGCAGAGCCATATTCTGTATGTATCAAAAAATGTGTCAATTCCTCTCCCCCACTCCACCTGAATCTAGACGTACTAAAACAGAAGTTCACAATGACAGGTTCTTTGACAACTACAAAATATGGTCCTGAGAGGGCAAAAGGCAGTGTTTGGCCAAGATGAAGCTGACATTGATATTTACAAGAGGGGAATATGTCTCTGCAGCAGACAGGTAGACTTGTGATTGTGCACACTTGAACAAGTGCTCTCTCTCTCTCTCTCTCTCTCTCTCTCTCTCTAACACACACATTTAATTATACCATTTGTGCAAATAACACCCCCATAAAACCATACAAAACCCTTAAGTTTTCTTCCTCCACAAGAGTTTTCATCCATCCATCCATCCATCCATCCCTCCATCTAGACACTGGTTAGATTATGGCTTGCTTTGCTTTAAGTACCCTTCTTTTCTCAATGAGAGTAGCAGTAAGGGAATGTCTGTCTGCCCATCTCTTCAATGTACCCTGAGTTAACATTTCAGCAGTGCATGTGGCTTAAAACAGGCAGCAAATGGTGGTAAATGTAGTCCCCGGGTTACAGAGGAGTTCTGTTCCTGAGACTGTCCTTAAGTTGAATTGGTATGTAAGTTGGATCACATGAGTAAGCCAAATGTTTGTCTTGCACCCTACGCATGCCCTGAAACACACTGGCTTGAGTATGCTCAAGCTGATGCCACAAAACGAAAAGCTGTGAATTCTCCATTTCTAGAGAATTAGGATGCAACTGATGAAGTGTCACCAAACTCATCATGTAGTTCCCAAGAGATACATCAGATAGTTCATTAGAGATAGCTGTGACCATCTCTAGCTAGTCTCTATCTCTAATAAAAGCCATGAATATCTCTAAGGAAAAGCTATGACTATCTCTAGGGAACTACGTGGACGCTGATGATGTGTTGCCAAACATATCACATAGTTCCCTAGAGATAGTCACAGCTTTTTGTGAGAGATATTCATATAGGGTTTATGACATTTCTAAGTACAGGTTGTTCATGACCTGGAATTTTGTAACCCGGGGACTACCTGTAAATATTTGAAACTAACTAGTCTAAATTCATAGGAAGTCCATAGGGAGGAAGGCTTTTAGCTACTGAATTAAGCAATGTTTCATGTAACACTGTGAGTGAAAAGTCATTTGTTGCAATGAATTCATTCAATGAAAGGGAAAATGGAGTAAAGCTCAGGGAGCGAAGGTTCAATTAGATGCCAGGAAGTACTTGGCATTCCTGAAAGTTAGGACCCCGAGTGTATGGCTTCCATGGGAGGTGGTTGAGGCCCCATCGGTGAGGGTGTTCAAGGATAGGCTAGACATGCACATGGTGGGCATGTCATGAGTAGAGCTGGCTGGAGCCTAGACTGGCTGGATCAGACTAGATGGCCCAGGAGGCCCCTTATGACTCGCTCTGTTTCTATATTTCTGTTTTTAAAAGAGACTCATCCCCACTTAGGAACTGAGGGTGGACATTTACCAAAGTACTTTAATTGACAGTGCACCCCCTAGGGAAATAGAGGCAAGTTTACTTTATCACTGCTATGCCTGCAGTACAACACAAAATATGATGCATCTCTAAGGATGAGACAACTGTGAGACTGAAAAAGCAGCTCAGTGAATTATGGCCATGTGGCAACGGAATCCTAAATAATGGTAGGCTGGACAACTTTGTAGGTTATATATTTGACTCTTTCAGTTTTTTGCATCTCTTGACTATTTACTTTGAAGAGAGTTCCCAGTTGTTTATCTTAAATTACTACTCTGTTTCTAAAATAGCAGTGTCAGGCGTCTAACTTATCTAGAATTCTGGCCCAATGGGAGGGCTAGCTGTGGTTAGTAAGTGGTGAAGCAAAACACTGTGCATGATCAAAAATGACCTATTTTATCATTTTACATACTCCAGGATACCAAAACTAGGTTATAGGGCTAAGCCCTGGCCCTGCTCCATAGTCCTTAGGGTTGAAGTTCAATATCAAAATCCCAGATCTTAGAGAAAAAAGTTCTGTTGAATTGAAATCCTCCAAATAAAGAAAGAATACATGGATCATAAATTGATCTGGTGGCTATAGACTAGGGGCATAATTTTGCACATGTCTGAACAGAGAAAAGTCCCACAAGTCCCAGCATTCTTCAGCCAGCCATGCCCCCAGCCTTGTACTCTAAGACTCCATCTAACAGCATGGTGGCTGCCTTCATACCAGCTGAGGAACATCTGTCACCTGCCTCTACGGTTCCTCTGGGAGTATGCTTAGTATATCAAGTAAATATAGCCATCCATGAGGGATGCACTAAAGGCCACTTTATCTGCACCTTGGTGGCTACTTCCTTATGTCTGGATGGCAGTCTGATGTCCAAATCCAGTAATAATGCAGATGGCTTGGGTAGTACAGAACATGGCCATGATGAGTGGCCCTAACAGCACATGTAGCAACATGAGATGGTGAACATGTAAGTGGAAAGTGAGAGTGCATTACTTTAGACAACAGTTATGAAATATTGCTTTTGAGCACTTCTCCATGTGAAAACAAACTCCCTGAAAACAGAAAAGGAACACATGGAATGTCTGCTTTGCCTACCCTGCTCAGTTACTATGCTGGGCAAAGGGGGTTGTGGCTTTGTTACAGCGGCAGTCATGATGGTGTTAAGTGTTCTAACGCATGATTTCTTGAACTATAAGCTAGACATGGTTCAGCTCAAACCCCTTAGCATGCACATAGCATTCTGCTGCATGAGTGCATCACTCCCATCAGCAGCACCATGAGATCCGCCTATCCCGTCCGAACAGCAAATTAGGACTAGCAATGTGGGGGTCCTACTAGGGGAAAGAGGCAAACATCTTGGGGAGGAGTTGGATATATAGATGGGCTCCAAAGGCAAATGTGATGCATTCCCTACAATTAATTATACCTAATTTAACATACACCTTACAGACGAACACTTGTGTATATTAACCAGGAAATGAGGCTGCATTCAATAGCACTTACGAATAGCAGTCCGATTATTAGTATTACTATAACCATTTTTGCCTTAAACTGAAGTGTTTCTGAAGCCTCCCATCCCAAATACTTCCATGTGGGTATTATAAAAGCAGCGGTTTCCTTTGGCAGGCTCGAGCGTGTTGATTTTCGGGACGTGCCCAGGAGGGTCACGCGCGCACCGCCCGCCGCCCGCTTCCCCTCTCCACGGGGTCCATCTGCGTACAAAGGAGAAGGCCTAAACGGTTCCGGGAGAGCACATTTCATCTGCTCCAAGAACCGACTTCTGCCCACTCTCCGCTAATTCGGGGGGCTGGGGAGCCCGCCTTCTCCTCCCTGCAAGCCGAACAGTTTGCAGAACTGCGGCTGGATCCTTACCTTGTGCACCGTGCAAAGGCACCGAAGCCAGGCAGAGGAGAAGCTGCAGAAGCCGGATCCAACGGGGATTGTCCATCCGCTTGTTGTAGGGAAGTCCCGGCAAAGGAGCACAGCGCTCGCAGAAGCCCCCGGTACGCCTTAATCCTCCTACCTCGCCCGTGCACTGTCTTGTCTTTTTTATTTTGCTTTTTTCCCTTCCCAGCACTCACTCCTCCGTTTTCCGAGCCGCCCAAGACCGGCCGCGAAGGAAGGAGCCAGGAGGATTTACCCCCCACCAAGTATTTTTACAAAGAGTTAATTCACCGCCTTCCTTCCTTCCTTTCAATTATCCCGCTTGCAAGCCTTTAAGGGAAAGTATCGCCAGGAGGCAGGGCCTTTAAAAAGTCATATGTTGGATCCAGGGGTGGTCCTTCCCCCCTCCTTTCTTTAAAAAAAAGTCTCTCCCCCCTTAACTTAGGAACCTTTGGAGGCAACCTAGTGGCCAAGGCTGTTTGGTTCAGATTTCCTCTTCTAAACAGAGAGGGAATTCTCGAAATATCTTCAGCGCAAGCAAATGCCACAAGCAGGGATGCAAAAGGACAAAGAAAAAAGCCAAGACCCCTACCCAGGAGCTCAGAGGAAAGTTCAAAACAGCTCTTTCAGAAACAAGAGCAGCAGGGGAGTTGCGACAAATGTTGTCACTAACACTACTGTAAAATTATTTAAATCTCTATATGCTTATTTCTAAAACTGAGAAGACTTTATTAAGCTAAAACTCTGAAATAGAAGTTAAGGCAAATGCAGCAAAGAAGCAAAACAAACCATTTCAAATGAAAGCAAACTAATTTCAGTGATATCTTGCTCCATTTTTATCTTACTCAAACAAAATGCAGCATGATCTTTGGCCAAAGGAGGCTCTGGTCTGAGCCCATCAGTCCACCTCCTGTTGTGTTGTTTGTAGGAGGATTAGACTGACCAGGTCAAATGTTATTTCAATAATAGGGTGCTTGGCCCCTTCTGAGGGTGGGAGTTCCCTGCTGCTTATCCACCCACCCTGCCTTAACCCTTAAGCCTATCAGTTTACACAAGCAGCATCACAAGCAGCCAAGAGCTAATGATTTATACAATTGACCCTGTCAACATCAACTGTAAAAGTGGTGAACCTCTAAAAGTTTTGGTTAGCCCATGCGCTCTGAGACCTAACAAAGAATCTGCAAGCTGCCATGCTAGGTCAGATCAACATCTATCTTGTCCAACACTGTTTCCATCAGTGAAAAAGCAGAGTGCAGAGATGACTACCAATTTCTGCTGTTTGTCACCAGCATCTGCGGTGATGTTGTAATTAATTTGGCTGTTGTTAATGACTGAGAATTGCTTTTATTTTAGTTATTTAAAATGTTATTGGCCATCATGCCTTTTGAAGCAGATCCCAAAATGGTATAGTTGTATACCTGTTGAGAATATGCCTCTATTACAATTAAGATTGCACCTATGAGGTCAGCAGTAAAGCTTGGAAGCTCAAGGGTGGTTCCAAGCAGAAGGGATGAACATCAATTCACACTTTGTCTTCTGAACAAGATGCTTATCCTCCTGCCCACATGCTCTCAAAATAAATTTGCTAGGCTTTACTTGTATTTACTTCATTATTGCACCTTTCTGCCAAAAAAGCTCCCATCTTGGCTTACAAAGATGAATGACACCGTCTGCCTTCAGGCTTACAGTATAAAAGCCATGACATGGAAGGAAAAAGAGCTGAAAATAAGGCAGAACCACACATTCCCAGGCATTAATTCTTAGTTACGAAGCTCTTACAGATGTTCTTTCTGGCAGGGAAGACTGAAGGAACCCCCCCTCAGCTGCTCCCAATGGCTGGTGCATAGGACCAGGTTGGTCTCCCCCTTGCCATGATGTTTTTCCTGGGCGGCAGGGTATCAGCTGTTCAATCACATTTTTCAGGAGAAAATGAGGCTAGAAGGGCACCCTGGGGAAAGGACTGGAAGTCAGGAATATTTGGAATACTTGTGAAAATGGTCCCCCTCCCCAATTCTACCTGCTTGACATGATATTTAACCCTGGAGATCCTGAAAAGGAAACTAACCTTGGAAACTTCAGGTTAGTCTGTGAGACCTGGAAAACTTATTGGGAGTTTGTTTGTTGATGCACTCCAATACCAATAAAAACACTGCAGGACTTAATGCTCATTTTTAAATTGAGGAGAAAAACAAATGCAACCACCTAACACTGCAGTCCAAACCTTCACAGAGCAGCTGTACTTTTAGGCTGTTGCTGCTGGCTTTATCCAATGCCAAATCACTGGACTATTGCAGAGGCAAAAATAAAATAAACCTTCAGCCAGGATGATGACTTAATGGAAAATGTTCCGTATTGCAATTGCTCCATTGCTTCCAATATTAGCACCTTTGCTTCATGTGTAGCTTACTGAGTATCTGATGTTTCTTTCATTAGATGTATGAAACTTCTCTTCAGAGGAGGCTTCTGACTTTTGTAGGTTATAAATAAAATGTTTTGGAATGATATTGTTATTGGTATAAGGTATGTGCAAAACATAGAAACAGAGCGAGTCAGAAGGGGTCTCCCGGGCCATCTAGTCTGACCTCCGGCACCTGCCGGCTCCGCTCACAACATGCCCACCATGTGGACGTCCAGCCTATCCTTGAACACTCACACTGATGCGGCCTCAACGACCTCTCGTGGAAGCCCATTCCACACCCTCGGGGTCCTGACTGTCAGGAAGTGCTTCCTGGCATCCAAATGGAACCTTGACTCCCTGAGCTTTGCTCCATTGGAGCGTATCCTGCCTTCCTCTGCAGGGGAGAGAGCCTTAGAGCTTAAGCCACCTTTTCAGGGTGCTCAGGGGATGGTGTAATGTTTTTTGGTGAGCGCCTAGAACCAAAAGCCAGCTTTTATTTTATTTTTATTTTATTTACTTTTATTTAAAGTAAAAGTATTTACTTTTACTCCATTCCATACCAGGACACTTGAGTAGATAACATATGAAATACAACTGACAGTTTCAAGCTGCCATAGGATTGCATTCTTCATTAGTGAATGCACAAAAAATTGGCAAAAAGCACATACTCAGACAGCTATATGGCTGGAGCATGCTGGGAGTTATAGGGTTTTTTAAAAATTTACATTTACATAGGTTGCACCCTAAAAGGGCTTCAGCTACTGGGCAAGGTAGACATTTAATAAATATATAGAAATAACATTTCTTTCAGTAGATGGCAACTTAATTCTTATGAGAGGCCACACAGTGTGGTCATACAGGATGTTTCGGCTTGTCTACGCAGGAGGCTTAGCATTGTTTTATATGAATGCTAAACCTACACTGTCCAGAATGATCATCTGTATTATAAATACCTCTACTCTGCTTTCTTGTCTACATTATTAGCAATAAAACATAAACATAAGCAAAGGAAGAGAGTTTCAGCATATTACCTGAAAACAGTTGGAACCAAGAAGTTGCTTTCCTCTGTCATGGACTCATTATATGGGCTAAGCAAGGTGCTATCTCTTAACTTCATCCCCTTTCTGACAACCTGTCTACAGTTCAGGGAGGATAATACTGGTCTGTCTTGCAGAGCTGTTGTAAGGGCTGCTTAGATAATTAAAATATGTGATGTGCTTTCAACAATCTAGAATCAGTCATGTGTAGAAACTTCACCTGGGACTAAGTGTGAGAGAAGTCCCGTTCAGATGTATGCTACACAGCATAGGGGCCTGCCATAATATAAGTCAAATCCTCAGTCCATATTGCTCTGTATTGTCAACACTAACTGGCAGCAGCTCTTCAGGAATTCAGAAAAGAGGTTCTCAAGCCCTGTCTGGAGATGCTGAGGATAATATGTGGCACATTCTGCATGCAGTGTGCTACCACCTTCTCAATGCTGTCCCTTGCCAAAATCATGCTGTTAAAGAGAAGGTGTCATCAGTGTTTTCAGATGGCACGTTATCAGTGTGTGATGAAGGCTATCATTTACAGTGAGGGTTTATAATCAAAGCAAAGTATAGGCAAAATTTGCCATCTCAGCTGCTGAGAAAAACCATGATTATCTTCACCTTTTTGTTCATGTTTGCCTGTAGTGATATATACTGTGGAACCTCTGTAATATAATGTAATCAAGTAAGCCAAAGACCTAGCTTTGGTACTGTAAATTTGGCCTAATCAGTGACTGTCACAGAAAGAATATTACAGTGGGCAGTGCAAAGAAACAGAAGAGGAAAAATAAGAGGAGAACCAAGAGGTTTCTTGCATGAGATCCAAGAAAACAAAGAGAAATTCAAACCTAGATCAGCAATACTGAAAGACCACAAGAAAACATACTATCTTGCCAGGAGAAAACAAAGAGAAGGTGGAAACAATATAACTATACAGAAGAGATTAAAGGATCTCTTTTGAACAAGAAAATGCAATATTAGAAAGTATAGTGAAAGCTGCTCTGAAAGTACTTGGAAGCAAAAAAGTACCCAGAGTGGATGGGGTACCAATAGAACTATTCCAAGCTGCAAAGAGCAAATTGGTCTAAATCCTAACAAGAATATGCCCACAAATATGGAAAAGGAAACAGTGGCCCAGCACTGGAAGTGTAACATGTACACTCCAACCCCCAGGAAAGGAGATGCAAGAGTACAGCATCCGTAGAATTCTTGCACTAATTTCCCAGGCAAGCAAGGTGATGCTGAAAGTATTCCAAGAAAGAATTTTATCCTATGCAGCAGGAAATGCTTGATGTTCAAGCTAGTTTCTGAAAATGAAGAGGTACTCAAGATCATATCACAAATATATGTTGGCTCTTGGAGCACACCAGATCCTGCCTAATTTTGGAAGCTAAGCAGGGTTGGGCCTGGGCAGAAGTGGGATGGGTGACTTGAGTGTATGATTCTATGATTGTTGCTGTCAACTGCCTAGAGAGCTTTGGCTATGGGTAGTATAAAAATGTAATAATAATAATAATAATAATAATAATAATAATAATAATAATAATAATAACTACAGCAAAGCCTTTGACTGTGTGGATCATGAGAAGCTATGGATGGTTCTTTTAAAAAAAATGGGTCTTACCTCAGCACGAACTTTCCTGCATCATGGTCAGGAAGCTACTGTGAAGATAGAATGTGGAAAAGCAGAATGTTTTCCTATAGGCAAAGGCATTGGACAAGGGTTCTTTAATCTCCTATCTGTTCTACCTGAAAGTGGAGCATATCATAAGGAAACCTGGATTAGGACCAGAGGAAGAAATAATGAAAAATGGTGGAAGATCTATATGATATCATATTTCTGGCATAAAGCAGCAAAGAATAAAAATGATTCCTGATGAAAGTGAAAGAAAAAAGTGCAAAATGAGACTATAGCTGGACATTAAGAAAACAAAAATCATTACCAGAAAAGAATTACGCAACTTTAATGTCAGCAATGAAGAAGTTGAAATTGTGAAAGATTTTGCATACCTTGGCTCAGTCAGTAATACACACAAAGCCTACAGCCAAGAAATCTGAAGAAGACTGAGACTTGGAAGAGCAGCAATGAAGGAACTAGAAAAGAGAATCAAGAGTAAGGATGTTTCACTGGAGACTAAAGCCAAGATCATCCACACTGTTCTATCACCATGAATGGGTGGGAAAGCTTAACAGTTAAGAAAGCTAACAGGAAGAAAACCAATGCATTCAAATGTGGTGCTGGAGGAGAGCATTGCAAATAGATCAAATCAGGGCAGAACTTTTCCTGGAAACAAAAGTGCCAAGCTGAAGTTGGCAAGACTCACTAGAGAAGACAATCAGGCTAAGAAAACTTGAAGGCAGAAGAAGAAGAGGAAGCCCAACTATGAGATGTATTAGCTCTATAA